CATCCGGATGGGCTGCCTCTCAAAAGCCTTTCCTCGGAGGAGAGAAAACAGCTCAAGGAGGCAAATCATCTCATCGAATTTTCCACACACGTGACGAGAGAAGTGAGGCGCGTCAGAGCGGCCTACTGGATAGAAAATCCAGACCACAAGGAGAAACTCGACATGTGGAAAACGAGCTGGTTCAAAGAGATGACTGGTCACGCGCTGGTGGAAAAGGCGTTGTTCGACCAATGCCAATTTGGAGCAGAAACAACGAAGCCCACAAGGATTCAGACGGACTCCCTTCCCCTTGGACAAATCAAGGGGAGGAGGTGCAACCATCCTCCGAAGGAATGGACCAGACCAAACGGAGAGACCTACGTTTCACCACATGAGTCCTTGGTCCAGAGGTGGAGGACAGTCAGAGGAGAAAAGGAGCGAGCATCCAAAGCTTTGAGTGAGTACCCGCCAGCCTTGAACAAGGCCTTGGCAGAGGCGATGGAGAAGGCGGACCTTCCCCGAGTGATGAAGCATCGCGAGGGGAGTCTCAGGAAGGCAGCGAAGTGAGGCGTGAGTGCCGGACCGACAGGACCAGTCTTAGAGGACCAAGCGATGAGACAGAGGGAGATTGAGAATGCCGAAGCCATTGGGGGGATGCGCAACCCGCTAAAGTCCATCAGGAGGATCCCAAAATCCGACATGGCGGGCAGGGCCGTCTTCAAGCTTCTCAAGCAAGCAACATCTCACCCCTCTGTCAAATCGCTAGTCGACCAAATTTTAACGGGTGGACATGCAGCTCCGATTTCAGCTCAGCTTATTGACAAGCTTAGGCAACTGGTATGTTCGTTGTCCCCAGGAACCATTCAACCTAGTACTGCAAAAGCATGCACACCACTCCAACCTCAGATTTTTGATGCTTGGGGAAGAATAAGTGGGGACCCAGATTCCCCGGTGCTGGTGCAGTGGTTGAGGTCGGGCGCTCCCCTAGGCTTCACCGAACCCATTCCTTGTACGGGCATATTCCCCGTGGTTAAGGAGGTTGAATGGGAAGCTGAGGCAGCAGAACAATTACAAAGGTCATTCGAAAACTGGGATAACCATCCATCAGCCGTCGAGTGGGAAGAAGATCTACACAAACTTATTGATGAGGCTGCATCAAAAGGTTTCTGTTCAGTCTACCCCAACATGGCTGCTGCGGAAAGGGAAATCGGAATAAAACCCGTATTAAACAAACTGGGTCTGTTGGTCAAGGAGAAACAAACACCTGAGGGAGTGATTAGGAAGGCACGGATTATTTGGGACATGAGGGAGAGCGGCACAAACAAGCTATGCTCCCAAGGCGAAAGGGTGTTACTGCCGAGGGTCACCGACGCCATTGAGGACGCTTTGGAAATTTTCCGAAAACGGGGGAAGCCAGCGTTTCTAGCAGTGGACATCCGCGATGCCTTCCACAACATTCCATCGGGTAAAGACAGAGCCTTCACTTCAGCTGCATTCAGGGACAAAACTGGCACACTGAAAATTGTGGTTTATGATGTCCTGGTTTTCGGTTCAGTTTCATCTCCAACTTTATGGGGCAGATATGCAGCGTGGTTTGGAAGGTCCCTTGCCTCTATCAACCCTGACATCAGACTGCAAACGTATGTGGACGACCCGTTATTCACGTTTGACTGCACGGACCCCTATCACAAGGAAAGGGTGGGGATCTCCCTGCTCTGGTCACAAATAGCCGGGTACCCACTCAAACTGGAAAAGTCTGATTCAGGAACAGAGGTGAAGTGGATAGGAGCCGTTATAAAAGCAGATCATGATAACCACACCATATCTGTAACTATACCTGAAGACAAAGTTGCTGAGCTGAAATCAAAAGTCCAGACCTACCTGAGGAGGCCGGTCATTGGACGAAGACAGCTACAAAGTCTAGCAGGCGCGTTGTCCTTCGTGGCGGGATTGGTCCCTCTCATGAGACCTTTCTTGAATTCCCTGTGGGCTGCACTGGCAACGAATGACGGTCCGAAGCAGACCAGAAATGTTGTCCATGTGCGCCGCATTGGGATAGCCTTACAGTGGATAGACGCCTTGCTGGGAGAAAAGGCAGCTCCGTTCACCAGGGTAGTGAGGGCATTCAGACAACAGACAAAATGCATTATTATTACGGACGCATCAACCAGAGGCTTGGGGGCTATTATGATAGTTGGGGACCGACCAGTCGAGTTCTTCAGCACAATCATACCCCAAGAGTTCATCGTTCGTACTGGTGCCCAACCAGGGGACCCCAGCCACATGGCGCTTTGGGAATCCCTGTGCCTCTTACTAGCCGCAAGGACTTGGCTGATAAGGTTTCCACTTGGGTCCATCCTTCGTGTCAAGTCGGACAACATATCGGCCCTCCACATGTTAGCAAAAGGCAAGGCCAAGTCGCCAGGGATGGCTATGGTCGCCAGAGAAATAGCTTTAGATCAGGCGAAGGGAATATACGAGTTCACAATCCTTCAACATCTGAACACCAAACTCAATAAAGTAGCAGATGCATTGAGCCGGCAGTTTGAACCTACCCCACCATGTTTTCCGCACGAAGACCTGGGGGCTGCATCACGCATACCCATCCAAGTGGATTCTTCGTTTTGACATTTACCAAAGGGTACGCCAGATCTTTCAAAGGGGGAAAAGTGGTTTGGGGGGCATAGGTTTTCACATAAGAACTAAGGCTGTGCACTGCATGTTTTCTTGGGTAGGTAACATATGAGTTTTGGGCTCGAAATGAAGCGTAGTCTAGGTCCACGGTTTTGGCTGGGCCAGGGAATACCCCAGGCAAAACCAGCCACCCATTCTGCAGGGCTACGCCCATTGCAGGAGGGGCCCGTCTATGGGGCCGTCGACCCCGGGCATCCCGAAGCAGCCGCACCATTGGCACAGCCAGGTGTCAAGGCTTACGCTAGGGGCTCGCTAAACGACGCCATAAGGCACGCATCCACAGGTCCGGAAAAGTGTGCAGAACACATCACAAAGAGAGCAAAGGCAGATACATCCAGAGGCCCCTACGAGTCAAGGAAATCAACGTGGTCTGCCTTGGCCAGGGCGGCGGGTTTCTCAGACCCGTTCCGTCTGTCCCCGGACCTCATCAACACGGTGATGGGAGCGATGGACATGGCCGGCTATAGATCAGCAGAGCTGTACATGGATACAGCCAAGCAGATACACATTGAGAGAGGACTTGATTGGACAGCACAGCTTGCCCAGGCCTCTAGGCAAGCCAGAAGGGCGTGCCAAAGGGGCCGAGGGCCAGCCAAACAGGCGCAACCTTTGCCGATGATCGAGCTAGCGAAGCTGAAAGTTCACAAGGACCCAGCAGCTCCTGGAGGACCAATTTTCCCGATGAGGTCGGTCATGTTGGCATCATGGTGGCTCCTTCGTGAAATCGAGGCAAGCTCGGCAGAGAGGTCGCACATCGAAATCGACAAGGTCCAAAGACTTATCCACTGGAAGCTTCCATCCAGTAAGGCGGATTGGCAAGCCCTGGGCGCAACTCGAACGCATTCTTGTAATTGCGAACAGAATGCCCGGCAGCCAGAGTGTCCATACCATGCCATGGTGGAGCACCTAGAGGCAGTGGGAGCTATCAGCGATCGCTGGGTTTTCCCATCAGCCACAGGTGAGCAGTCATCCAAATGCGGATGGGCCGACACCATGCAATGCATGGCACAGCAGCTGAATCTTCCTACTCACACAGACACTGGGGCAAGGAGATTCACCGGACACAGCGCCCGGGCAACTGGCGCAGTGTACCTGGCACAGACCCAGATCGAACTCTGGAGGATCCAGCTATTTGGGCGCTGGGGTTCGGAGTGCTTCAGGATATATATCCGCGACGCTCCACTTCAGCAGCTACATTCCTTGGCAAAAGAAGCTTCTCTCACAACTTCTTTAGCAGCAGCCCGGGCGGAACTTTCTGCGATCCTCAGCCAGGCGCAAAATTGTTCCCCGCCAGCCGCAGCAGTTTCCTTACGGAACCAGTCCGTGGGCTGCCTTGCGGACTGCGAGGCTGCAGTGGATATTGCTCCGCCATCGGAGCAGCCAGCTTCAGTGGAGTTTGTGATTAACAGATCTGCCTACGGCAAGATCCACAAGGTAGCCTGTAGTGGACCAACGCGTCCTCACTACCTATGGCGCACCCAATGCAACTGGTATTTTGCACGTGGCCACGCAGACTATGCACTTGCAAGTCAAGCGGACCCAGACAAGCCAGAATGCAATAAATGTTTTAAGCCCAAGCAACAGAAATTGGATGATGAGCCCTCTACCTCTTCATCATCTTCATCGGAGTCATAATGCGCTCGAACGCAGAATGGACCAAGTTGGCATCATGGACTCAATCAAGCACATGTTTGACTCAGCCAGAGTGGGACACTTCAAAAGTGATCCTAGCTAGCTGAGTGAGTCACACTCATGGCCAACGTTTACAAAAAGTGCGTCCGGCTCCGATGCACATTTCTATTGCTGCTCTCATGGTCTTAAAGAGTTGTTGGGTGAAACAGTGAAGCTGTTGTTGTAACAACTAAATGACATGAGAGGGGTGTTTGTGGGAGGGAAACCCTTGAACCAGCTTGGCCTGGGGCCATTTTGGCTCAAGGGTGTGATTTTGAAATCCCCACCCGCCCTCTCCTAACTCAAAAGGGGAGGGAAGCACATGTTTGACTCAGCCAGAGTGGGACACTTCAAAAGTGATCCTAGCTAGCTGAGTGAGTCACACTCATGGCCAACGTTTACAAAAAGTGCGTCCGGCTCCGATGCACATTTCTATTGCTGCTCTCATGGTCTTAAAGAGTTGTTATATATTATATTATATATTATATTATATATTATATTATATATTATATTATATTATGTATTATATTATATATTATATTATATATTATATTATATATATTATATTATATATTATATTATATATTATATTATATATTATATTATATATTATATATTATATAAAATTTTGTTATATTTATATCACATTTTTATTATATTACATAATATTATTCTATATTATTATCATATTACGTTACATTATTTTATTATATTATATTATGTTACATTATGTTATATTATGTTGTATTATACTATGTTATATTAAATTGTATTGTATTATATTATATGTTATGTATATATATATATGCGTAATGTTCCTTTGTTTTCTGCCAACTTGACCCTTTGCAAGTCTGGAATTTATCACCAAAGATGGCAATGCCAGGGCACAAGTGGGGTTAAGCTGATTGCCAACGTGAGGCGATTGAACAGGACATCTACTTCTCACGGGAAAGTGGGGGGCTGCCAGTTGACACCGGGCTGCGACACCTCTGGGCCCTTCATGTGTAAGGGGAGGCAGCATGAACAGCTGTGATTAGCTGCTTGCAGATTTATCTTAGAGGATGAACCATTGGGTGATATCTGGTGTGGGATTCAATTGGGATGCTGAAGTTTCAGACTCCTGGTTCTCCGTGCTTTCAGCATTTCAACAGGGTCACTTTTCCAAGGCTTGGACTTGTTTGTGAGTGTTGATTTGGCTGCCTAACACCGGTTGAACCTTTTCATCAGAGTTGTTCGGCAGGTGAAAAGATCGTCTGCGATCAACCAAGGTCTGCATCCCAACCTGCAGACCTCCGATTTGGCTGGGGAGCAGATCCAGCTCCTTTGGTCAAAGGGAAAGGTGAGGGGAGAGTAAAAGTTAGGGCAGACTCCATGTCCGGGAAATTCGCCACTTATTTCCGTTGATTTCCACTTCCAAACCTTTTTCGAACAACTTGGTTTTGTGCCAGTTTTGAATGGGGCAGTGAATCAATTTACTCTCATTATCAGGGGCTCCTCACCAGCCGATTTGGTCTCATGAGATGACCATGTCGTCAGACCGACTTTGACTGTGGGACGAGAAAAGACTCGCGATTCTGAGGTACTAAGAATTGCTAAGACTGCTGAGACTTGTTCAGAATTGCTAAGAAATTCTCATTAGTGATCCGCAAACCTCGGCTGTGATCGCTGATGGACATGGCAATCCTCTGAAATCTCTGAGGTTCGAGATTCATCGGTTCCACGATGGCAAGCTGCAGGTGAGGGGATATCTTCCAGTGCCACCGTGCCACTAACGTCCAATCGCTTCCAATAGCTCCATTATTCTTTCACTACACATGAAATTATTGGGTGCCGTGACAATGCATGGCATCGGGGAAACACGACCGCAGGCGCGGAACCTTCGTGCCTTGGGCGACGTGAGCGACTTCAAAGGAAGCAGCTACGGTGCTAACAGGTTGGGGATTAGGTTGGGGGTTCTGAGTCTTGAAAGTAGGGAAGTAGTACAATGAACCCCAAATGAAGAGACACGTATTTTTTGCCAGCCATTTACTGGAGTTGCAACCTGCCTTTCATCGGAGTTTGGCAGTGGATGAAAAAGAATGATGATGCGTTGAACAATCCACGGGTTCACCTCGTCAGGATGAACCCGGCAACGCTGAATCCTTTCAAGCATATAGCTGGGGCTCAGTCGACTGCCAGGGAATACGGTGCCGGGGTTCGTGCACAGTTCTTCAATTCTCACCGCTCGGCGGGTCTGCAGGCGAGGGGCCAGTATCAATGTAAAGTGTGAAATTATGTGAAATTGACTCAATTGACCTTGTTTTTTGACCCGTTTCTTTTTTCCAAATTGAGTGCAACACCTGCAAGTTTGAATGAACAATCTTGGAGCGGCGCAAAAAATCGATGGCGGCAAGAGGACGAAGATCGAAGCCGAGATTGGTACTGCAAGAGTTGCCATGATCCAAGAGAGTTGGCGCCGAAAAGTGCGAGATATTAGTGAGACTTCTGGTGGGATCTGAAGTCTTTGTAGAAGAACCATGAACAGCTATTGGTGAGGCCAATGATGTTTACTGTATCATGCTTATCACCTAATTAAAAAACAGCGTGGTATTCGGTATGACTCAAACTCTCCAAGCTCAGTCCCAACTCAGGTGGTGAGCGAAACTTCATGAAGCGCTTCGAGTGCTTCAAGTGTTTGGTGGCCCAAACCTGCGCTTTTTGCCGAGCCAAAGCTTCCACATTCGTTGAGTTCTTTCAGGGGTCACCATTGACCAAATTGACCAAGGCAAAACACCTAAACCTCCAGAGATTGGGGAAGTACAGGTCCCACAAGGCCCAGTCTGCTTGAATTTCGGCATTTGAATGATTTGGAGTCCTTAGCACATGTCTTTGCCTGTCTTTTAAATAAAAACTTAGCCAGCAAATTAAAGATTCGAAAAGTGACCCAGAGATGATTTTCCCGCAAAGGTTTTACGGTTTTTCGAAAAGTTTCATGGTTATTTTTGTATCGAAGCTCGATTTTGGAAGCGTGACCGTCGTGACCAGTAGTCATCCCAGCGCCCAAGCGCAACCTCTCACCGCATGCTGGCTCTCGGGCTATGCGGGAGATGTGCGCTCGGACAGATTTGGGGAAAGTTGCCCTCAATAGATGTAGATTTCAATGTAGATCATTGTAGATCGTGGTGTTTGGAATTGAAGTGCATTTTGATGCAGAATGGACTCCAACTGCTGGTGAAATTGAGTTTCAAGGTTTCAAATGGAACTTAGAACAGTAGTGCTGGAATCAGAGAACCTGAGAGTTGGAATGGAAAGAAGTCCAGGATTCCGGAACTTCCATGATGACATCATGGTCACAGGAGTTCCTTGATGTTTGTGAGCATCTCAACTAACAGCCTTACTGTCTTACTAGATGACTCTGGATCATGTAGCCTTGCTAGGAATTTCTTTGCTGAGCAAGGAGTAACGACGACCAATGCAAGCCTCATTTGGACTTGAAGGCTTCAGTCCCTAGACACTCCCAGTAACCATTGCTTTCCCCATTCAGAATTGCCAACTTAGATGATTTTGGGGCCTCCAATTTTCGGACCGCCTTGATGGCAAACGTCAAGCAGTTTTAGTATCAGATGAATTTGAGAAACCACATGTAGCCTTTCTGGTGCCATTTAGGCACCATTTTCAGACCATTAAACTACCCAACCAAGGTTTCCCCCAAGCTGCGAGCAGTTTTCCAGGTACAAACAAGGCCTGCTGGGCCCAGCTCCTACCGCCCCGCCACCCCCAGCGGAGCCTTCGCGAAGTGTGGGACCTGAAAAATGCCGACTCCATTGAGGAACTGGGGCCATGGACTGGAGGAAAGTCTTAAATGATAGCTGGATCTTATCTTCAATGAACTCTTCTGTACTGGTACTTTTAAAGAACATCTTGCATTTGGAAACAGGTTTCATATAAAATCAAGACCATCTTTGCTCTGAGATGTTCTGGCACTTCAGGTCGTAGTCGCAGGAGTGCATCCAGGTCAGGGACTGCGGAGGAAGCATGTATATGATAGTATAATATATATGTATATATATATATAATATACATGTCATATTATATGCAATATGTATGGATCATGTATCATATAACATGTATCATATATCATGTTTCATGTCTCATCTATCATGTATCATGTCTCATGTATACGTATATGACTATGTATCTGTATCTGTATATGACTATGTATCTGTATCTGTATATGTACATGTATGTAATGTATTTAACTTATGTGATGTATATACATTTCTTAAGGCAATAAGTGTAATGCAGGAAACGCGTGTAATGTATGTAAGGTAATGTAATGTATTGTAGTGTAGTGTAGCGTAATGGAATGCAATGCAATGCAATGTAATGTAATGTAATATGCAATGTAATGTAATGTAATGTAGTGTAATGCATGTATGTATGTATGTAATGTAATGTAAGGTAATTGAAGGTAATGTAAGGTAATGTAAGGTAATGTAAGGTAAGTATGTATGTAATGTAATGTCATGTAATCTAATGCAATCTAATGTAATGTAATGTAATGTAATGTTGTGTTATGTATGTAATGTATGTAATGTATGTAATGTATGTAATGTATGTAGTGTATGTAATGTTATGTAATGTAATGTATGTAATGTATGTAGTGTATGTAATGTAATGTAATGTAATGTAATGTAATGTAATGTAATGTAATGTAATGTAATGTAATGTAATGTAATGTATGTAATGTATGTAATGTATGTAATGTATGTAATGTATGTAATGTAATGCATGTAATGTAATGTATGTAATGTAATGTATGTAATGTAATGTATGTAATGTAATGTATGTAATGTAATGTATGTAATGTAATGTATGTAATGTAATGTATGTAATGTAATGTATGTAATGTAATGTATGTAATGTAATGTAATGTAATGTATGTAATGTATGTAATGTATGTAGTGTATGTAATGTATGTAATGTATGTAATGTATTTAATGTATGTAATGTATGTAATGTATGTAATGTATGTAATGTATGTAATGTATGCAATGTATGGTATGCAATGTATGGTATGCAATGTATGGTATGCAATGTATGGTATGCAATGTATGGTATGTATGGTATGTATGGCATGTATTGTATGTATGTATGTATGTTATGTAATGATATGTAATGTAATGTAATGTAATGTAATGTAATGTAATGTATGTATGTATGTAATGTATGTCTGTCTGTCTGTCTGTCTGTCTGTGTGTGTGTATGTGTGTATGTGTGTATGTGTGTATGTGTGTATGTGTGTATGTGTGTATGTATGTATCTATCTATCTATTTATCTATCTATCAATGAGTCAATCAATCAAGCAATCAATCAATCAATCAATCATATCTATATATGATATATATATATATTTCAATATGTTCATATTTATGTATATATATATATATACACATACACATGTATCTATTTTTGTTTCAAGGAATGCAGTGCTCTCGAGATCAAGCCCTACTTTGAGTTCAAAGCGTTTTCAAACACATCCAAATTGTGGCAGGGCCAGCTGGCATCATGTACTCAGTACTCGGATGGAGCATGAGACACACACACACACACACGCACACACACACACACACCTTTTGCGCCGCTTCATTCAACCGACCTTTGGCACTGGGACTGTCTAGCTCCAAAGGGTTTCTGACTAAAATCATGAATTATAATGATTATTTTTATGATCATATTTTCATTATTATTTATCAGCATAAATGAGGGCCTGGTTTGTGAACTCGGCCTGCAGTAGCTCCTCCAGTAGCAGCGCCAAGCAGTGGGGGACTTGGTGACTCAGCACATCTGGGTGAAACTGAATGGAGGAAAAACATCCAAATTTGATGGTTGAACATGTTGAAAACATCATTTTGCTTATTCAAATGGCCATACAAGGGGGTATACCACGATTTTCAGACACATCCATATGGTCCTTGAATGTCCTTGGCCTCTGAGGCGCAAGAAAAAACACAAGCACAAGAAACACAAGAAGGGCAAGAGGAGCGCACAACTTTTCGGCCGAACGTTTTTGTTGCTGGTGAAGAGACTAATTTTTTGAACAGGATGTACACCGACATTGGTGGGGACAGATGCAGATCTTGGCGAAAAAATGATCCGGTAAGTAGCAAATAGGTTGTGAAAAGTTGGGGACCTCATGGAACAACAGGAACCATCAGAAACCAACTCTTGTCGCCTCATTATACCCCGTGCCCAGTTCCTCTTCTTCAAGCTCATCAAGCAACTCGGTGGCCAGTGGGCAGAGGATTCATTGGTTTTATATGGGATTCAACGGATTCAATGGGTCTTCCATTTGGTTCTCCAACGGTTTCCTCATATTGATAGAACAATGGAGCGGCACACATCTGACAGTGTTTATTCTGTTGGATGTGCTCTCTTAGCGAACTAGTCAGAACAGAGGTTAATATGCGTTTCAGAATAACCCGAACGTTTTTTCTATTTTCTGCAATCTGTGCCGGCACTTTGGAATCCGAAAGCCAACAAAAGAGTCTTGATGAAGTTCCACGAGATTCCTGTCATTCGTATCTAAAACCATAGTCCTCTTGAACGCTTCGGTCAGACCTCGCCGCCCCGCCAAGGATCAAAGAGTAGCGTTAGGTCGGCTGAAGGGCCAAAGGATGACGAGGATCCTGATAAGCCAAAGGACAGCGGGCTACTCTGGGACCAAAACATCGATGAAGGTGCATGAATGTCGCAGATTTTCAGAAGGGCCTGACTTTAAGCATTCTGAGCCTCAAGTTGCGCAGCTGGCATTCTGCAGGAAACAAATCCGGAAATTGAAAAAGCCAAAGCGGAGGTCCTTCCTGGCATTGCGGGACCACTGAACACCTCATTTCATCTGTATGAAATGGAACTTTACTTGTACAAACATGGTCTTTATTCTTGATTCCGTTGGTTCCCTTTCGGGGATTGGATGAGTCCCTTAGTGGGATTTCAAAACACAAGAACCAGTTGAACCGGGGTCTCAATATGGCGAAAGCGTGAGGCCTTGGAAAAGCTGATGAAGCTCAAAGAGATTGAGTCGAAGGAAAATCGCTCCAAGCAACATGTCTGCATCATCCTATGCATCATCCTATGCATCCTTTTCCCAGTTAAACTGGACATTTCGAGCTATACCGGCTATACCCCTCTTTTCAGACACAGCCACATGGTTGCCAACTGCAAGTGACTTATTCTTCAGCTCCACCTGGCGTGGCGTTGTCCCTGAGGGAGTTTAGGGCTTTGCTTCGGAAGTGGCATCCAGACAAGAACCCAGATCAGCAGGAGGCCCACTCCGGAAGATCGTTACCTGGTTTCGGTACATCAGCATTCTTCTGTTTTTCATTTGTTTCCATGAGACCTGACATCTGAAAAACAGTAAACTGCGCGTCCATCGCGCAAATAGATGCCAACAAACTTCGAAAGAAACTCGGTTAGCCAGCCTGCAGACACTTAAGATTTGCACTCTGGTGGACAGGTTGCGACGGCAGTCTTCCAATTCTTGCAAAAAGGCTGGGGATTTCAATTGCGAAGCATTGCGGGGCTTAGAGATTTGCAACGATTTGGGACACTTAAATCGCAGAAGAAAAACCTTTAAACACTCGATTTTGGCGAGAAGATCCCCACTTTTTGCAACATGCCCATGGCAATCATTGCGTTGTTCGTCTGCCCAGGCAAGCGTCTGATCGAGTCGTAGTCGTAACGTGCTGAGTGGGCCCAAGGTCTGACATGGATGTGTTTTTATTTTTCTTGTGTGTACTTACAATATCTCACAATTACATTGCATCTAGTATCATACACTTAGATTTGTAATCCTTTCCCCCTAATACTAGACGTCCCCCCCTATTAATAAACACCTCAGGTAGTTTTTAGTATTCGGGGGGTATTTATTATTAGGGAACCCTATTAATAAAATTAAACCCTTAATAATAAAAACTATTTTTTCCGATTTCAAAATCAATTAAATTTCCTTATATAACGCAATTAAAATATTGCCAAAAATTCGATTTCGAAGCGGACCCTATTAATAAAATTAAACCCTTAATAATAAAAACTAGTTGTTCCGATCTCAAAATCAATTAAATTTCCTTATATAACGCAATTAAAATATTGCCAAAAATTCGATTTCGAAGCGGACCCTATTAATAAAATTAAAACCTTAATAATCAAAACTAGTTGTTCCGATCTCAAAATCAATTAAATTTCCTTATATGGTCCCGTGTCCCGTGTTCCCACCCCCCCCATTGGATGGGGGGGTATGGTGCCCCTGTGGTGGTGTATATACATATATATATATACATACATACATACCTACCTACCTACCTACCTACCTACGTACCTACCTACATACATAAATACATACATACATACATACATACATACACACACACACAGACACACACACACACAGACATACCTACCTACCTACCTACCTATCTACCTACCTACCTACCTACCTACATACATACATACATACATACATACATACATACATACATACAACATACATACACACATACACACACACAGACATACATACCTACCTACCTACCTGCCAACCTACCTACCTACCTACCTACCTACATACCTACGTACATACATACATACGTACATACATACATACATACATACATACATACATACATACACACATACATACCAACATACCAACATACATACCAACATACCAACATACCAACATACCAACATACCAACATACCAACATACCAGCATACCAGCATACCAGCATACCAACATACCACCACCACGGGAGGGGGGGTGGCCAACGCTGCACCATATATACCCCTTGATCCTCTATAAAATGCACATGCTTTACCTCTATAAAATGCTGTTCCGGGACTCATTTTATAGAGGACTTGCTTGGCCGTCTATAAAATGCCCCTCCAGAGCTCCCTCTTTTACCATTTTAGAGAGAGCTTCCTTCCCAGGATCAAAGATTATAGTTGATTATAGAGAGGTGCAAGATGTTGCAGATGGATGATGCATTTTATAGGAGGGATTCTTTGCAAAATATTACCGTTATTTATGGACCATGTTGTGAAAGGAAAGTGCATTTTATAGAGGGAAACTGGGGGCAACCTTGATCTTTAAGATGCTTTAAGAGCATATACTGGCTTGTATGGAACAGGCATTTTATAGAGGCTTTACTTTCTTGGTATTCCGTAGGTGGCAGTTTGAAGGATGCACATGGATGCACAGTGATTCTTGCAACTGTAGGGTCTGAGTCGAACACACGCGTGCGCCTTGCAACCTTTATTAAATACCGCTGGGCCAGCCATCTAAAATCCCTGGGCTAGCGCCCACTGGCTTTAGCCAGCTAAGGATTTAGCAACCGCCTGTGGAAAAGGCATTTTATAGACATGTCGTGCCATATTGGAGCAGCGCTTCGAAGACAACACCTAGATTGGAGCAGCATTTTATAGAGGATAACTGGGTTGTTGCCCGATGTCGCACTGCGTGTCTTTGCACACGCGTCGTCTGCGGAGAAGCATTTCATAGAGATGACGGAGAGGTCATTTCATAGAGGGTTCCCACTTGCTGTCTGGATGTTGGCTGACGGAGGACCATTTTATAACCAATTTTCTCTATAAAATGCTTCGCAAAGCATCTTAGGGAATCAATTAAATTTCCTTATATAACGCAATTAAAATATTGACAAACATTCGATTTCGAAGAAGCGGACCCTATTAATAAAATTAAAACCTTAGTAATCAAAACTAGTTGTTCCGATCTCAAAATCAATTAAATTTCCTTATATAACGCAATTAAAATATTGCCAAAAATTCGATTTCGAAGCGGACCCTATTAATGAAATTAAACCCTGAATAATAAAACTGTTTTTTCCGATTTCAAAATGAATTAATTTTCCTTATATAACGCAATTAAAATATTGCCAAAAATTTCGGACAGACCCTAATAATAAACACCCCGGGGTGAACTAGTTTTTATTATTAGGGGGCAAAACCCACAAATGGTAGCTTTATTTTGACATTGTTTTCTAAAGGGGATCAATTAAAAGTCAAATTGGCCAATCTGAAATTTTCCGAAATTAGAGATGGACCCCTGTTTTTAGTATTTGGGGGACGTTTTGTAATAGGGGGAAGGGATTACATATTCAACACATAAGCTTTGGCGTCTTCATGCATTGCATATATTGCATATTACAATTTACAGACACAGTTGTATGAATATCTATTCATGCTGAGAGTTTCATTATGCTTCTACCATTTTTTCTGCTAAAATCGATGCATCAAAGCTCCGGACTCAGGTGGAGTGTCTCACCTTTGGCAATTGCCTCGCCCCACTTTGGAGGTTACGGCCCAACGGCTTCCAAGAGGAAGACACCAAAGTGGGTAGTTGGCCTTGAAACTTCATGACTTCATGACTATTTGGTTCCATCTCCATTGGCGGTTTGACATTTTCATGGTTCCAGAGGGGCAAAGTTTATTGGGTCCTGACCTGGCACCTGGGATGGGTTGAATCCTTCGACCCTGAAGCGTTGCTCCTATTGCAGAAAAACGATGTCAGCGACGACAGCGCAGTGCTGCTGATAGGACCGTTTAAGCTTCACGAAGAAGCCACCGGGTATCCAAGATGCTTCAACCATATGTACATGGCTCCATTTTTCAGTTTGCCTGAATAGTTTCCATATTCGAGAGTTTTTACGATGCAGTGTCCCACTCTTCATGATCAGCACCCATCTGCTGCATACAACTGGAGCAGATGCTGAGGATCAAAGCCAGACACATATTTTGCTTTAAGGAAACGGTATCCTTATCTTGTTGCAGATGACACTGGCCCAGTGGCCTAGGGTGATGCATATAGGTAATTTCGAGACAGGCAAAGCCAGAGACAAAATGTGAAACGATTCAATGCACCCCAGCATATGCATGAGAATTGGTCAATTTTCATGCCCAAAAAGTCAGACTTACTGACTATTCTCCTTTTGCTGAAGGACAAATGGTAGTCCTGGTAGTTCATACAGAAAGCAGGAGAACCAAGCAAATCACAGATTCGGACTGAAGCCAGTGCCACTGTCAATCCGTGTCATCGCCATGACACAGGCAAGAGATGCGTGCATTTAAGATGGGTGGATGGGGAGTGCAAGGTTGAGCGAACCACTCGGATGCTCCCTATGTCGCGTGATATGGGGCTGCTGGCTTTGTATTGCTGGATCATGTCCATGTTGAAGCCACGAATCATATGAGAAATGAATAGAAATGAGGGGTTGCGATGGAGATAACACTTCACATTGCTCAGTATTGATGGACCAACCTCGTCAAGGAAACTTAGGACAATCAGCTTGAACAAGTTTTACTCTTGGGACTTTCATACAGAAAGCTATGACAGCCCACGGCAAAAGGGTGTCTAGCTTCTAAATTCTGACTCTAGTTTTTTCCAGGCTGCCGAACCATGGTGGATACATAAATACGTATACAATTATATATATATATTATAGAAATATATATATATATACATATATATATATACATATGCTGCAAAGTCAGAGGCAGAAAGTGTACTAAAAATTACTACAGCCCTGGTCAAGCTGTTTGCGGTGCTGCGACTTGTGCTCGTCCGTTTGATCAAGGAACCCGCAACCCCAGCGTGAATCAGCTGACGAGACGCGGTAAGCTGATTGATGGATGATCATCGCCGAAGGGATAAATGACATAACATGACATATTATATATATATACATATTAACCATGCGTGTATACAGCTTATATATGCTTATATTGTATACACATATGTATTCATCACTGTCAATCAATGATCATCTCACTGTTCACTGTTGTCAGCTGATTCCGTGGGTTCATCCAGGGATTGGGAACCAAATCCCCTGGATCACACGGCAACCTCTGCGGAGTGAGTTTGAGGCTTAGCACAAGGGCGGAGCCAGTGGATCCAGATTTTGGTGCCCAGTCTAGGCACCGGTGCAGGAGTAGTGAAACGAGGTTTCCCGAGATGTTAGCACTTGTGAGCCAAAAAATTAGGATGGGATGAGTCAGTTGCATCGCCTAAACATGCCTAAACTGTGTATCAGTCTCTATCAATATCTATGTAGTCTATGTCACTGATAGCTGATCGGTCTCAGCGAGGTGCCACCATGGAGATGGGTGACCTTGATGCTTCCGCCACTACTCTGGTTTTGCGAACCTCCAAGCACCGTGGCGCAATGACGCAATGCTGCGCCAGTGGCCCTAAAGAAAAACCGGTTCGCAACAGAGATATGGTTCTTTATAGAGGTTTCCCTTTTGAAGTTGTATGTAAGACCAAAGATCATCAAAGATCATCAAAGATCCAAGTTCTGCCCCCTGAAAAACAAGTGGCATCACTTTCGGTCCTGCTGTAGCAGCTCCCAAGGAAGCTGACTTTTCGACAGATGCTCACTGTGCAACTGGGTTTGCAAGAACAAATCCAGCGGGTGCAAGTCATGCAAGTCTATCTGGGTATGTCTCAGGTCAAGTCCCAAACCGTCTATTCAAAATGGCACCAGCAGTTGCCACAAGTTGTAACCTTTTCTTGTTGGCTGGACTCGCCTTCGATGGTTTGCCGATTGCACTCTAAGAGTTCCTATTGCTGTTGGCGAAACAGAGGGGGCGTTCCAGAGCTTCCCATAGCTTCCATGGGACAGTTCAGGGAACAAGCTGGGACTTAGCAATGCGTGAATGGTTGGACCTAAAAACCAAACATTAGAAGGCAAATCATACGACTGAGCGGCTGGGTGTGTTCTGAATGGTTTCTAGCCGATATGCTAGTGGCTGAGCTCCTTGTTGAGTCTCCATGACCAAAATGAGACAAGCCTTTCCTTTGCCGGCCTGGCTTTTTCGTATTTTCAACCGTTTCTGGTAAGATTGTTTCCTCAGTCCTCCACTCCGCCCAAACGGGTCTGAACCAGGCTTGACAGAGTCTGTACCCTGGCGGAATGTCAACATGCCTACGACTTCGTGCAACTTGGATTTGTTGATCGCAGAGGGTTTTTTAGATTGTGGAGCATGTGGCATTGGTGTATGACCAAGAAGATCAATCACATATCAATCACGGCCGAGGAAGCACCACCACGACTAGACAAACACAAAGCCAAACTCTTTTTCATCCATTTTGTGGACTCCTGCTGTTTTGTGCTTGCGACACAGTCAATTAAACACATAAATACCTCCACAGATTGAACATGGAGGTCTTTGGCACAAGCGTGAGCAAATTGAGCGGATCGATCTACTCTCTCTGCCATGGCGCAACTGCTTTGCTGCTTTGCCATTCTACTAATGTTTGTTTTTTCTACTAAGGGAAATCTACAATGGCTGCTCTTTGTCAAATGGTGAGGGCCAAGGACGATTCTGCTTACCGTTATGGTGCATCCTTTTGTGGATCAACTATTTGCCTATTCATGGCCTTTTCAATACCGCAAATACAATGGGCGCTCCCTTCATTTCGTTTTTCTGACTTCTGCTGCCAATTCTGCCGGAGATCTCCTTCGTCCTGGGTTAGGGGCACCCAGACTGCATGCCCCTCATGCTTGGATTCCTCCTATTTTGACAGTGATGGCACGTTTTTCTCCTTTTCGTTCAGCACAACCATTGCTGTGAGCACTTTGCCGAAGATCTGTTTGCGCACTCCTTCCGAATCGAAACTCGCGCGTGGGGGCCGCCAGTGGCTGACCGGGAGACCGCGGCAATCTGCGTACAGATGATGACTCTTCATTACGCCGGCATTTGCCTCCTCTATGACATGCAAGTGGTCACGAACCCCACAGTGCGGCGGAGGGGAGCCCTCCTCAAATCAGGCAGGTAGTCTTTCAAATTTGTAGGCCTCTTTTTGGCAGCACCATGAATTTCACCCTAGCAGGGTGCTGTCCCCTTCCGAAAAGGGCGCAAGTTAGCGCAGGATCCATTTTCGTTTGTTAGGGAAGATTTTTGTTCCAGCATGTTGAGTTCTCTTGGCATGCACTGCTGACGTGTAGTCCAAAGGCTCAAAAGCGGACTGCGTTTCGCTGGTCAAAATACAAGATTGAACATGGACGTGATATGCATGGTCTGGAGACTGTGACTGCGCAATAGAGGCTTGTAAAACCATGCCACGAGGTCTTACAGAGATTTGCATAGTTACAGAGATTGTCATGGTGTTTGTCAGAAGTTTTGAAGTAATGTTGGGTTCTTGCAGCATTGTCATGGACTGTCCATCTGGCATCCGAATCTTGTTGGCTGTGTTGATTTGCCATGAAAGTGAAGGCAGTCTGCTAGTCACAAACCCTCGTTCTCCTTTCTGCATTTTCCACTGCGCCTTTAATCTTCTCTCTGCGTGCTCGTTGGCCTGCGCTGCTGCATTTGGGTGTCTGCGTCTGTGTTTGCTCAGTTCAAATGCTGTCAGTGTATGTATGTGTGTATGTACATTGGAAAGATGTTTGTATACTATGTATACATCTAATTTTGTGTATACGCATGTACTCGTATGTATTGATGCGTACGTCCGTATGTACTTATTCATGATTGATCGGTCGATCGATCGCATCCGTCCATCTACCTACTGTATCTACCTATATACCCCCGCAGAGCTTGTTGCATTAGTCATTCTCAGACGAGTGAGGAGTCGCTGGCATCACACATGCTTGGTGCGTCCATGAGATTCTCAATAACCAGAATACGTCACGATACATCCGGAATACAACAAATCATTGACGTTGACACCCAGTGCCTTCGCAGAAACTTTGCACAAGGTACATGCCTTGGACGAAGTTGGCAATTGTGAACTTCTGCAGTGTTGACACTTGCAGATTGTGTTTCAGGCGGGTGTAGTACCACAGTTTGCTTGAAGATGGCATCATTTCTGGAGTCATCGTCGCGCTGCAGGGCCTTTGGAAGGTCGAATGAACCACACATTCGCTTTGTGGGGCAGGCAGGATGATGCAAGACTGATTCTGGAAGGGAATTTTGATAGGAGCATTTGTTAGTTGAGAGTTTTGTAGATGTTTTCCATAAGAACTTGAGAAGGATTGCCAGCATTTTGGGTCCCATGCAGGTGTCACAGCCTCCCACACCAATGCCCCAAAAACCTCCCGGATTACCAAACCCCAAGCACTCACACTCACACGAAGCATGCATGTCTTCTTTGCCATTGATGCAAACACACACAGACACAGATACATAATGTGTATATATATATACACATACATACATGTTACATATGTATCTATCTATATATGTTTCGGTGCATGTAATGTACGTACGTATGTGTGTGTGTGTATGTGTATGTATCCTAAAGATATCCTTGCAACCTCATGCAGATCACATGTGCAGTATTGAGCTTCGCGAGGCGGTCATTCAAGGACTGCAAGCAAACCTGGCTGCTCGATGTGGGAAGATATGGAAAAGGGGAAAAATGAAAATGAAAGCATTTTCGGATGGTGCGAGGCACTCTGTGTCTTTCTGTCACTTCTAAAAGGAAACTCTTTTGAAGACACTGGGGACGTGAAGTCGATGACAAATGCAAGTGAATTGGTGCTGGACGTGCCTGTTTGAGCTCCGAACAACTTTACTCTTACCTAGCATGACCTCAGGTTGCTGGTTCGTCGCAAAGTGGCGTAAAGATTTCATTGTACAAAATGAATGAATTTGGGTCAATAGCTATACAATATTCAGGCGGATGGACGTCCATTTACCAGCTATCTTGATGTCCAACAGTGTACTACATTTTTGTTTGACCCATGGGGGCCTCAGCCAAGAGCTTGTCCTGAGGCCCTGTTCTTGAGCAAATCTGGGGCAGACTACATGGGCGACCCTGGGGCACCTCGCATCTTTGCCAATGGCCCATGACCTCAGATCGACTGGGAAACGAGTTCACCACGGGTTAGGCTTAGATAATTTTAGATGACCCGCCCACAAAACGCTGATTGCTGCCACCATATCCAGAAAGGCTTAGTGATTTGGACTGTAGGTTTGGGTCTCTTGTGTGACGTCCCATGATTCCCATGATGTACTATACCATGTATATCTCAATACAAAACAAAAAATCAATTGTATACATACATACATACATGCATGCATGCATGCATGCATGCATGCATACATTCATACATTCATACATAATCATACATAATCATACATAATCATACATAATCATACATAATCATACATAATCATACATAATCATACCAGCATACATAATCAACATAATCATACATAACTACATAATCATACTACATACCATACATACCATACATACCATACTACCATACATACCATACACACCATACATACCATGCATACCATACATACCATACATACCATACATACCATACATACCATACATACCATACATACCATACATACCATACATACCATACATACATACCTACATACCATACATACATACAATACATACATACATACCATACATACATACATACCATACATACATACATACCATACATACATACATACATACATACATACATACATACATACATACATACATACATACATACATACATACGTACGTACATACATACATACATACATACATACATACATACATACATACATACATACATACATACATACATACATACATACATACAATACATACATACATACATACATACATACATACATACATACATACGTACATACGTACATACGTACATACGTACACGTACATACGTACATACCACATGACATACATGACATACGCTACATACATACATACATACATACATACATACGTACATAAATACATACATACATACATACATACATACATACATACATACATACATACATACATACATACATACATACATACATACATACATACATACATACATACATACATACATACATACATACATACATACATACATACATACATACATACATACATACATACATACATACATACATGACATACATACATGACATACATACATACATACATGCATGCATGCATGCATAGAAATGCATTGTACATGACTGTGTATCAACTGTAGACGTACATCACATCATGTATCCCTCTCACATCATGGATCCCCCTATGACATCTTAAATAGATTTAAACAACACAAATAAATACACAGACACAATGCATATATATATAAATATTACGGTAAATGCACAACTATATGATGCAGTAGGTGATGAACCTTCAGTTCAAAGGTCAGTCCAACTGTTCTTGTCCAAAGTCAGGAGGTCGATATGCAAGAGGTTCGGTGCCCAGAAGAGAAGGGTCTGACCAGGTTTCTCATTCTCTTGTTTCATTTTAAGAGAAATTCATAGTTTGGCATTGTGAGAAGCAACCCAGTCTATGGGACTGCTCCAGAAAATGGCGTTCACTCAGTGGTCTCTGCAGTATCAATAGGATTCAATTGTATCAATGGGTCTAGCATTGTGTAGTAACATGCCTGGAATCTGCTGTGATTTGGCTGACGAAGTGAAACTGCTTGCAGAACATACATGGCATCGAATGACATCGACATTTTCTAAGACCTAAGCACATCATTAGCACACCGCACGTCGAATGACACTTTATTGCTTCGAAGTTTCCCTCCATGGTGTGAGACGCGTGGAAGTGATTTCACCCAACTTGAGCGATGAGTGGCACATCTCCAGTCAAGATCACGGCCACGGGGCTCAAATGGGCAGCTGATTGAGTGGCGTCTAACTTATGAGAGTTTTGGTTTCAAATATCGAAACAGCCTGGTCGAATCTGTCTTTCTGTGACAGATGTGACAGCAAGTCTAAACCCGCAGATCATGCTAGTAAACCAATCAATTTTGTAAAACCTGTTTGCCATATCGGAATATCCCACTCCTAATGGGCCATATCATATCAATATAATATGTATATATATACATATTCACATTCCTTTTCAATGGACAGAGTCTCGGCAGATTCTGATGTGCAAAGGGAACCACCTTGGACACCTTGGCAATGAGTAAACAAACTTATCCATGTATACACATCCAAGAGAATCCAAGATCAATTGCAGCGTGTTTGCTAAAGACCACGATGCCTTTATCACAAGGCGCACAAACTCGAGGTGAATGTGACTGCTGGTGCGGAGCTGGCTGGAAAAGTTGGAAGGCTTGTCATGTACCTGCACGACAAGGCCCTCGGAAAAAAGGAGTTTGGGGGGTTGTTTTCCATTGTGAGTGGTATTGATATTTTGGCTTCATTCAGGAATGGAGAAACATATCTAGTTCCAGTGGGTTCAATCTCACGAAAAGGATGTCCGACAATTCAAGTCTCACACAAATAGATTGAACTGTTTGCGTTCATGTAATGTTTACGTGTGATTTCTGGATATAGACAATCATATTTATCTTCATAGATATTGCATGATAGTACGTAGAGTTTTTTCTTGACTCACATGGACAGATAGAGACAGGGTTGGTCCACTGTCTTGGCCTTGTCATGGGGAGCCCAAAGGGAAGTTTGAACAAACCACGACAATGGATGGAATTGCTTGCAAGCCTGCTCTACATATGGAACTTCATGTAAGATTGGCTAAGATTGCTGTAGCACAGGCTACTGCAATGCATGCAATACAGATTAAGACAGTAAAATTCTTGAATTGTATGGAAGGTGTGTCAAGCATTTGAGTTATGTGATACCCCTCTGCTGCGCAATTCAACGTGCAAGTTGCTAAGGTATTGTAGATGGATTCCGTGTTTGTGGTCTCTCATGATCGCAAGTGGTAGTGCGCCACCGCATCACTACATATCCACATAGTTGAGGCTTACCCAAAGTAACAGGCAGCTGTCTTGGCATGATCGGTAGAATTCGCGAGAGGTTGATTTGAATATTCTGCTCTTTTGAAGTTCTTAGAATCTTCGCTAGAGGTGCTTTCAGCATTCAACGATTACCAGGTGAACTGAGCAGTGTCTTTCAGACTTTAGTGCGTTTGGGGAAGCTCTGCAGGCCCTGGCTGACGCACCTGCCTCAGTGGCAGCTGAGCACCAGCTGTCTATGTCGCCAGAGACTGTTTGCTTGGAGGCGAATCCAGATGCTGAATCTTGGCAAAAGTGACGTTGATATGGGTCAAACTTAGGGTACCGACCTGCAAATTTGTTTATTTTTGACTTGTAGACATTTGTAGACTATCCAAAAACTGCGATGCTTTGAAGTTTGACCCATCACCTGTGGAACAATGAACATTTCTCCCCTTGCGGCTCCGGAGTTTGGGGGTTGCGAGGAGCAGATTGGCAAGAAGGCTGCAGAGATGGTGATGCCTTCCTATTACATTTCTGTCACTGGAGACGTGATTGGAGATCCTGCCTACACTCCAGTGGTGCACGACCAAGTGGTTGACCTGAAGCTGAAGCTACGTAGTTGAGGCCACCAAGGATGCAGCAAAGCTCCGATGGCGGTGATCCAATGTCCCAAGATGGGCAAATGACCAACAACTATATCTTTGACTTGAATTTAGTCATACACAATCGTCTACTCTGACTACTTCATTGGCTTAGAAAGTGATCTAGCTTTTGATGATTCTATGATCAAACACGCGGGGAATATGATGAATACTCAGAAAGGAATGTGTCAAAGCCGACATCCAGAATCAGCATGTGGGGTCGGTCAATTTCTGAGCCTCAATTGCAAGTTTAATCCCACTGTTGGTGGAAAAGCACTTGCAGTTCAAGCTCCGACCCCAATTCAAGTTTATCTTTATTTGCGCTAGTGAGGTTGGTAGTTTAGTGTG